ACACAGACACACCCAAACACAGACACAGACACACCCAGACACAGACACACCCACACATAGACACACCCAGACGCAGACGCACCCACACACAGACACACCCACACACAGACACACCCACACGCAGAGACACACCCGCACACAGACACACCCACACACAGACACACCCACACTGATAAATGCACAGGTCCGCACAGACACAGACTCACTCAGACGGTCACACACATACACACACACTCACTCACAGACACACCCACACACACACCCACACACACTCACTCACAGACACACCCACACACACTCACTCACAGACACACACACACACACTCACTCACAGACACACACACTCACAGACACGCCCACACACACATACACTCACTCACAGACACACACACACACACAGACACACACACACACTCACACACACTCTCACTCACTCACAGACACACCCACACACACTCACACACTCACACACACACACACTCACTCAGACACACCCACATACACTCACAGACACCCACACACACTCACACACACTCACACACACACTCACTCACACACGCACACAATCACTCACAGACACACACACACTCACTCAGACACACCCACACACACACACACAGACACACACACACACAGACACACCCACACGCAGACACACCCACACTGATAAATGCACAGGTCTGCACAGACACAGACTCACTCAGACGGTCACACACACACTCACAGACATACCCACACACACACAGACACAAGGGGAAAGGACAGCGCGCCTTAGCGAGTTGGAAGTGACCCCGTGAATGTAGATGGCAAGTGAGTCTGATACTGAAATGCTCTGTCAGCAACAAGTGGCTGTGTGTGTGTGTGTGTCAGGGAGGGACACGGCTCTGTGCAGTGGATACAGGCTCCCTGACTCTGGGGAAATAGTTTTTACTCTGCCTGATGCTGACGGTCCCTTCTTCCAGTCACAACCACTGAATTCCGCCCGCACCACTCATCGGCATCATTCAGCTTCTACCATCTAGCGGCAATCTCTCTCCCTGCCTTTTCCTGAGCTGAACACAACTTCCATCCAACCCCAGGGGAGATCTCGAGCCTCGCTTATTCCGTGGCTCAGCTCCGAGCGATGTCACACTCGCTGTTCTGAGGCCTTTCCCCGTCATTCTCAGGGAAAATATTCCAGCATTGGATTGATTTTTCTTTCAGCCTATAAACCACGCTCACTGGCGTGTCTCGCAATTAGACTCCTCTTCCGAAATGAAACTACATGAGACAACTGAGCCGTGAACAGGGGAGACTCAATTCAGATTTGCAAATGCTCTTAAAATGTTGATCTGCTTGACTAGGCTGAGGGAGATGTAGAATCTCGCTTGTATCGTTCCTTGTCTTTTTAAAAACATCAACTTGTTGAATCATTTTTGACACGCTTCCCAGGCACGTGGGAGTTAAACTCGGGCCTTCTGGGCCAGAGGCAAGGGCTTTGCTACTGTCCCACACGTACCCTCTAGCTTTAGCTCAGTTAGGGATGCGCATGCACCTCTCACAAAGCTGTGCATTTCAGGCGACCCTCCACCCTCCCCACTCTGGCACTCGCTTTTCATAACTTTTGAGCTCATTGCCAATGATCAAATAGTGAGAGTCACAGAGGTGTACAACAAAGAAACAGACCCGTTGGTCCAATTCGTCCAATGCTGACCAGACATCCTAAATCTAGTCCCATTTGCCAGTATTTGACCCCGTATCCCTCTAAGCTCTTCCCATTCATGTACCCCCAGAGATACCTTTTCAACGTGGTAATTGTACCAACATCCACCACTTCCTCTGGCAGTTCATTCCATACATACACCATCCTCTGCGTGAAAAAGTTTCCTTTTAGGTCCCTTTTAAATCTTTCCTCTCTCACCTTAAATCTATGCCCTCTAATTTTGTACTACCCCCACCCTCACCCCAGGGAAAAGATCTTGACTATACACCCTATCCATGCCCCTCATGATTTTATAAACCTTTATAAGCCTTTGACATTCCAGGGAAAATAGCCCCAGTCTTCCAATAGTGGCATAACCAATATCCTGTACAGCTGCAACAGTACATCCCAAATCCTATGCTCAATGCTCTGCAATAAAGGCGAGCATAAACTGATACTAAACTGAAACTACATACTAAACTGATTTGATTTGATTTATTATTGTCACATGTATCTAAGTACATTGAAAAGTTTTATTTTGCGTATAGTAAAGGCAGATCATAACATATGAATATCATTGGGTGATTGAACAGAGGGAGAAATTCAAAGTTACAGCTACAAAGAAGGTGTACAAAAAGTAAGATCATCATTAGATTTGAAATTTGGGAGGTCCA